GAGGCTGTCAATAGTCGCCCAGATGTGCTGCAGGCACCGCCAGGCAGCATATTCTGCTGTGTGAGAACCCTCTCCACTTAGCCCTGCCCCCTGGCCGCTGAGACGCGGAAGAGGGTCCTGCATGAGAGTCAGGTAAGTCTGGACCGGGAAGGGAGGGCGCAGGGAAGGTGTGGGGATGCTGGTGGTATTCTGCAGTGCTGTTTTTTATTATAATGTATTGCTGGGATTAGTAGTCCCGCATAGCTGGTAGTATTCTGCATTGCTGTATAATTATACAGCAAAGCAGAATAGCACAAACTATGCAGGACTACAAGTCTCAGCAAAGCATTATATTTTTTAAGTAGGGATGCACCAGTCAGTGCCAATACTGGGCATTTTCACGAGTACTCATACTAGTGAAAATGCCCCGATACTAAACTCAGATACTGATGTTCTGTCGAGAACGCCGACGTAGTCGAATTTGCCGACCTCAGCATCTGCGCTTGTGCACAGATCAGTATTATTGAGGGAACAGGGATTTATTCAAAGTGCTGCGCAAACTGTTGGCGCTATATAAATCCTGTATAATAATAATAATTTACAAAGCATTTAGTGTAAATTGTTAATTGTGACCGTTAATAATATGCCATCCATCATTTACTGCCATGGATGGCATATTATTAACGGTCACAATTAACAATTAAAAACTAATACTTTCTCATTACCTCATTAATCCCTTCTGTGCGCAAATGCAGATACTAGGTCGGCGTTCTGAACAGAACACCGGCACTACAATTTTTAAACTGAACTGGCTGCCTGAGGTCCCGCGCTAGCTGGGGACCTCAGCAGCCTTCCTGTTAACCACACAGTGCTATGGCGGCGGAGGGTTGGGGGGGGGGGCCTTCATAGTTTCTTGCACCGGGGCCCTGAAGGTTCTAGTTATGCCTCTGGGTTAAAGGAGAATTATGAGGTGAGTTATTTGCACTCAGCCTCATAATCTGAGCCGACCTGTGACAATGAAACTGTCACAGGTCGGCTAAGTAGATCGGGAAGTGAGCGAACACATACCGGCGCTCGCTCACTTCTCGATCTATCCCCGCAGGTGAGCCGTGACAGGGGAGTGACTGGATTCCCCCCTCCCCTGTCTGATCCTCCAGCGCTGACTGGGGGAACAAACGGGAGAGGGGCGGGTACAGCTGTCTCTGCCTCTAGATAGGCAGAGCCCGCTGTCACTCACACAGCTGGGCAGATCCAGACATAATTGTCGGGATCCGTTTCAGCTGCGGCATCTCACTGAGCTTTGGGTGACGTGAGGATGCTAGTTTGTGTCCTCCTGTTACCCTTTGGAGAACTATGGGGAAAAGCACCATGCCCATAGCTCTCCTTTAAGTGTTAGGTTTTGGTAAATTAAGTGGTGGGGTTTTAGGGGACAAATAGGTGCTAAGTGTTTAGGTAGGGAAGGGGTAAGCTAGGGTGGTTCTTTAGTTGAGAGGATGAAACAATGAGCATCTACTCTGCACACTATTTCTCACTAAGCAGGGGAACATTATCTGAAAACCACCAGCATCAGGAATTATATGTATTGCTTCTGCCCACTGAAGTTCTGGTGTTTGAAAGTTGAACTATGGGGATGAGGCTTAGACTTAGGAGGAGCAGGATTTAAAGCTGACTCCCCTTCCCACCCCAAACATTAAAAGCATGTTTGCTCCCCAAGCAGGGATGAAAACTCGTCAAGCAGAGGCAGAAGTTCAGAGCAAAGATCTCCAAGCACAAATGGGTGCCCAAACAAGCAGAGGCAGAATCCCAAATAAAGATACTACAAATGCAAAGGGAGGAAGCAGCTGCCCTAGCAAGGTTGAAGTTCCTTGAACAATCAATGGGAGAAAGTACTAACTCAGACTGTCTTATCCCAGCAGAACTGTAAGATCCAGTTGGATGCACCAGTGAATATGTGCTAAAGCATAATGTTTGAAAATATACAGAGTCATCTCCTGTAGTCCTAACAACACTGTTCTAACTCTCAACACAGAAACCTCTCAGCTCCAAATGCCTGAGCCTCTTCAAATTCTCAACACAACTGCATCTACGCAGCAAACCACATCACCTCCTGATAACAACAAGGTGGTTCGCAGTGACAAGCCACAGTTGAAGCTACAGCCAGCAGAAGTCTCAGAGACTACACCACAGCTAAATGCTCTTGCAACATCATTTTATCCTGGTAAACCTCACCCTTCTTCACCAGAGAACTTTCACACCCAAGGGGTTCCACAAGTTACTTTGGCACCAAAGAGTGAGAGATCAGACCTGTCTGACTTTGCCAGATATATAATACGCCATGAGCTCATTAACATTAGCCTCTCAAAGTTTGACGACTGTCCAGAGAACTACAGGGACTGGAGATAGACCTTCAAAACTGCTATTGCTGATCTCAACCTTATGGCCAAGCAGGAACTCGATTTGCTCAAAGTGGCTGGGCCAGAATCTGCAGTTCGTGTTAAAAGACTGAGAGCAGTACATGTTGACTACCCAGATGCAAGTTGCTGCTGCATGGGCAAGACTTGAGCAAACCTATGGTAGCTCTGAAGCCATAGAAAACACTCTATTCAAGAGACTGTGAAACGTTCCAAAAATAGGTAACAAAAATAATCGCAAGCTTTAAGAACTAAGTGACCTCCTCATGGAGCTAGTTGGCAAAGACAGACCCATGTCTGCCTGGACACCGCTCATGGTGTTAATCCAGTGGTGTCTAAACTGCCGTACGG